AACCTGCCACCTCCAGCATATGGGGCTAGCATCCTACTCCTTTGAGCCACAGGCACCACCCATCTCTCTCTCTCCCTCTCTTTTTTTTTTTTTTTTGGAGAGGAGACAGAGTCTCACTTGGTCACCCTTGGTAGAGTGCTGTGGCATCTTAGCTCACAGCAACCTCAAACTCCTGGGTTCAGGTGATCCTATTGCCTCAGCCTCCCAAGTAGCTGGGACTACAGGTGCCTGCCACAACACCCAGCTACTTTTTAGAGATGGGGTCTTGCTGTGGCTCAGGCTGGTCTTGAACCTGTGAGCTCAGGCAATTCATCTGCCTTGGCCTACCAAGTGCTGGGATTACAGGCAGGAGCCACCTGGCCCAGCCCTCTCTATAGAGGTTTTAATAATCAATCCCCCCTGTTCATTAGGATAGAACTGGACCAACTATGATCATGCTCACACCTGAAGCATCACACTTGAGAAGAACCCCCCCACACGCACACATACAACCTACTAGGAGGAGCAAAGCCTGGGCTCCCTGTGGGGCTCCAGCACCCACAAAGCTCCCAGGAGATGCCCCTCAATCCTAGGTTGTGACTTACAAAGCCCCAGCCTCACGCAGGAAGGAAGGCCTCCTCCAGCAGGCCAGGAACCTGATAAATTTTAGGCATTCAAGGAGAGAGGAATTCACTTACATGTATAGGTTTCATTCTCAAACATGAGTAGATATAAAATGGAATTCTCATACACTGCTATGGGAATGTAAAATGGTGCAGCCACTTTGAAAAACACTGGCAGGTCCTCAAATACTTAAATACGGAGTCACATTTGATCCAGCATTTCACCCACACACTCCAGAGAGCTGACAGCCAACTACATGAATGTTCACAGAAGCAATATCACAATAGTCACCAAGTGAACACAGCTGACATGTTCATCACCTGATGAATGGATAGGCACAACATGGTCTGCGCATGTTGTTGTACCCCTGCAACCTAAAAGTATAGACTCGGACCCCACTTAAGTGCAGTCAATTGAAAATTTATTGAATCTGTGCAGGGGACTGCTGCTCTGAGGCAGACAGCCCATCGCAGTAGAGGGCAAGTTGCCTTATATAATTTTTGAGCAAGCATACTACAGAAGCAAGATGTGGCTGGTTAGCTCACGGCGGGGTGGGGTGGATTTACAGCTTTGGGAGTTACAAACTGTAGATTCCTGCCATTGTTCATCTGAACTTGGGACTTTTCGTGTTTCCTTATTTCACCTCTAGG